CCCAGCTGATTTTTTGATTTATTGTAGAGAGGACGTCTCGCCAAGTTGCCCAGGCGGGTCTCGAACCCACGGGCTCAGGTAATCCACTCACCTCGGCCTCCCAAAGCGCGGGATTCAGGCTGAGCCACTGAGCCCGGCTACAGACGTTTTTCTTTTAAGTGAAGGTGCTGACCTCCGTGGGGACCTACAAGTCTGCCCACCCTCAAGCCTGGAGGTGACTGGCGGTCCAGGATTCATCACCGGTCCCTCTCCCGGTCTCTGAGCTTGCTAGGGGCTTGCCTGGCTGGACAAAGAGAGGCCTGCGGCTCACGGGTCCCCACGAAGGCCGTGTCCTCCCTTTTCCGCCTCCATTCCCTCCCCAGAGCGATGACCACAGTATTCACCTGTGCAGTCCCACAGCACGTGGGCAGCGTGCCCGCCTTGGTCATGCCGGGGTTAGTCCCCACGTCCCTTGGGCTTCCCTGAACGACCCGCCCTGCGGGCAGGGACCGGAGGGGGCGGCCTGCAGGACACCAGTGGCCCCCGTCCTGGTCCCACCCCCAGGCAGGTGACCAGCAGAGCCATTTCCTCCTATGCTGAGTCCATGTGCGGTTGCCGTGGCAACAGCTCTCATTGGCGGAAGGCCACCGGGGCGGGTGCCCGAGGGTCTTTTCCTCTTCACTTTCTCCTTCCCCAGACCCCATCCACATCACGAATAATAACGTGGCCACAGGTGACGTCACCACGACAAGATAATCTGGCCGATAATTACAGATAATGTCGTTAGGATGCTTTGATCCATGCTTCCTGGCTATGCCTTTGTGCATAAGGCGGAAGAAAGGTCACAAAACAAAATGTTCTATGTGAACCCAAGGTTTTTTTTCTTACAAAATTACCCATGTGGAAGCAAACCCTAGCGGGCACACACCAGCACATGAGCAGGGACGCCTTGGGCTGGCAGGATAATAAAGGGTATTCATTTCTTCCCTTGTGCTGACGACCATTTTTAAAGAATAAATGCGGATTATTTTGTAATAAATAAAAAAGCAGCCAGGCCGGTGGTTCAGCCTGTAATCCCGCACTTTGGGAGGCTGAGGTGAGTGGATTGA